CGCGGGCACGCGCACCTGCGCGCCAGCCCATGGGCCAGCGCGCCAGCCCAGGGGGGGCAGGCGGCAGGCGCAAGTTCGGCCACCTGGCCATGGCTAGAGCGGTTGAGCACGATGATGATGGTGATGGTCATGATGTAAAGTATGGGGCATGTTATATATATACACACGGATCCCGACTGCCATTAATTCGCATCCGAATAACTATTTGTTATAACAACTCCATGGACGCCGATCGATCCCGCCCGTGCACACCTCGGCACCAGGGAGAGCGCCGACGGGGGTGCCCCCGTCTTCCGATCAGAGAATGGAAGTTGACAATGGGTTTACGCCATTGGGTTTTGGAATTCAACATCGCTCCCGCGGCGTACAATCCATCAGCGGCGCGCCGCCGCGCGCGCGCTGGCGATTGGAATTTGCGCATCCAGCGTCGCATGTCCACGCGGGGATGCCCCCGTCTTCCGATCAGAGAATGCATTTTTACATTGGGTTTTCGCCGTTGGATTTTGGATTTCAACGCGTGCGCGCGCGCGAGCGCGTCGGCGATTGGCATGTGCGCATTCAGTGCCGCATATCCACATGGGGATGTTCCCGTCTTCCGATCAGAGAATGAATTTCTACATGGGGCTTTGGAGTTCAACATGGCTCCCGTTGTCTAAAAGTCTATCAGCGGCACGCCGCCGCCGCGCGCGCGTTGGCGATTGGCATTCGTGCATTCAGCGTCGTATATCCACATTGGGACGTTCCCGTCTTCCGACCAGGGAAGAATGTTTTACCTTTATGTGTTGTTTTCCATTTGGTTCTGGAGTTCAATATCGCTCCCGTTGCGTCAAATCTATCAGCGGCATGCCGCCGCCGCGCGCGCGCTGGCGATTGGCATGTTTGCATTCAATGTCGCATGTCCACATTGGGATGTTCCAGTCTTCCGATCAGGGAATGGATGTTTATATTGGGTTTTCGCCATTGGGTTTTGGAGTGCGACATCGCCCCCGTTGCGGCGCGCCGCCGCCGCGCGCGCTGGCGATTTGCACGTTTGCATTCAGTGTCGCAGACCCACATTGGGATGTTCCCGTCTCCCGATCAGGGAATTATTTTTTCATTGGGTTTTCGCCATTGGGTGTTGGGGGTAAACATCGCACCCGATGTATATAATCTACCAGCGACACGCCGCCGCCGCGCGCGCGACATTTCGCCCTGTTGTGAAATGCCTACCAGCGGCATGCAGCCGCCGCCGCGCGCGCTGGCTCTTGACATGTTTGCATCAAGTGTCGCATATCCACGCGGGGATGCCCCTGTCTTCCGACCAGAAAATGAATGTTTACATTGGGTTTTCGCCTTTGGGTTTGGAATTCAACCTGGCTCCCGTTGTATAAAAACCTGTCAGCGGCATGCCGCCGCCGCGCGAGTTCCGCCGCGCGCGCGCTGGCGATTGACATTCGTGCATCCAGCGTCGCATATCCACATTGGGATGTTCCCGTCTTCCGATCAGGGAAGAATGTTTTACCTTATTGTGTTGTCGCCATGTGGTTCTGGAGTTCAATATCGCTCCCGTTGCGTCAAGTCTATCAGGGGCATGCCGCCGCCGCGCGCGCGTCGGCGATTGACATTTGCGCATACAGTGTCGCATGTCCACATTGGGATGTCCCAATCTTCCGCTCAGGGAATGAATGTTTACATTGGGTTTTCGCCATTGGGTTTTGGGGGTAAACATCGCACCCGATGTAGAAAATCTATCAGCGACACGCCGCCGCCGCGCGCGCGCGACATTTCGCCCTGTTGTGAAATACCTATCAGCGGCATGCAGCCGCCGCCGCGCACGCTGGCGCTTGACATGTTTGCATTCAGTGTCGCACATCCACGCTGTAATGTTCCCGTCTTCCGATCAGAGAACGGATTTTTCCAATGGGTTTCCGCCGTTTGGTTTTTGACGATTCGCATTCATGCATCCAGTGTCGCATATCCACACGGGGATGTCCCCGACTTCCGATCAGAAAATGAATGTTTACATTGGGTTTTCGCCTTTGGGTTTTGGGATTCAACCTGGCTCCCGTTGTATAAACATCTGTCGGCGGCATGCTGCCGCCGCGCGAATTCCGCCGCGCGCGCGTTGGCGATTGGCATTTTTGCATTTAGTGTCGCATGCCCACATTGGGATGTTCCCGTCTTCCGATCAGAGAATGATTTTTTACATTGGGTTTTCGCCACTGGGTTTTGGAGTGCGCCATCGCTCCCGTTGTGCCAAATCTATCAGCGGCACGCCGCCGCCGCGCGCGCGCTCGCTGGCGACTGGCATGTTTGCACTCAACTTTGCATTGGGTTTTCGCCGTTGGGTTTTGGATTTCAAATTTCATCCCGTTGTTAAACTCCATCAGCGGCACGCCGCCGCCGCGCGCGCGAAATTTCGCTTCGCTGCATCAAATCTATCAGCGGCATGCCGTCGCCGCGCCTGCGCGCGCTGGCGCTTGGCAATTATGCAGTCAATGATTTGTTACATTGGGTTTGGGGGATAAGCATCGCCCCCGTTATATATACATATATATATATATATGTATATACATATATACATATATACATAACTACCAGCTGCGTAGAGGGTGCGCGGCGCGCAGGGAGTGGTCCCTGAGCGCAGTCTCTATCCACGCAGGGGTCGCAGGGCGTGGCAGGCGTGGCCCGACGCCTAAGTGCGCAGGAATCTGCCCCTGCACGCAGTGCGCCAGGGCGGTCGCGCGGGACGTCTCCAGCGATCCAGTTTGCACCGCCTCCCTTTTGTTTCTGTAGGCGCACTAAACCATCTGTAACTGTCTCCCCAACATATGTTTGTGAACAGTTTTTACACATCATGCGTCTCGGGCTCTCAAATTAAGATGGAATTACAGCGGGGCGGCCTTTGCCAGGTCGCCGCGCGTCGCCGCGGTGCTGCGGCGTCGAGCCCATCCAGCTGGAGGTAGCACTCGGGGTCGCTGTCGGGGGCGAGGGCGGACGACGCCGCGCCCAGATTCGGCAGCGTGGTGCCGTCCTCCAGGGATCGCTATCAAAACAAACATGCAAAACAACGAAGAGAGTGAGAAAACAACGAAAAAACAAAACTCCCGCGCAGCGCGGTAGATGGCGTCGATCTGCGCCCGCGTGAGCCAACCTTCGCCGGGGTCGAGCTTCGGCGGTGGCCGCGGCGCGCTGGCCGCGGGACCGCCGAGCCGAACGCTCGAGCCGCGGGCCCCACTGAGGCCGCGGCTCGGCGGTGTCGTTCTCTCGGAGCGCCATCGACGCCTCGCGACGCCCCACCACCATCGTCGCCACCACGCCGCCAGAGCGGCGGTGGCTTGGACAGCGTCCCTGCCACGCCCCAGCCAAGCATGGAACTCGGCCACCACCCGCGCGGCGGCGAGCCGCCCGCGTCCCCTCCCGCGACACTCGAGCCAGGCGCTCGCGGTGTTTTTTTTGTTGCTGTTGTTTGTGTTTGTTTGCTTGTTGATCCTCTTTCTTTATCTATCGTTTTTTTTGTTTCTCTCTCCCTCTCTCTCTCTCTATCTCCCCCTCTCTCTATATACATGTATATAATAAATATGTACATACATATATATACATATGTATGTATGTATGTATGTATTACTACTGCTTCTAGCTGGTTGTCTTTCTCGTAGTCCGTAGCGGTGACTGGCGGACGCATTGGGGTGACGCGCGTGGCCCCCGGCGCTAGTGGTAGTAGTGGAAATAGTGGTAGTAGCGCCAGTAGTAATTGCAGTAGTACTAGTAGTCGTAGAAGTAGCAATATTAATCGTAATCGTAATCCTGTGAATTGGGTAGTGCCAGTATTGCACCTCCACCACCTACTACTACCACTACTACTACTACTACTACTACTACTACTACTACTACTACTACTACTGCTACGATTACTACTACTACTACTACTACTACTACTACTACTACTACTACTACTACTACTACTACTACTACTACTACTACTACTACTACTACTACTACTACTACTACTACTACTACTACTACTACTACTACTACTACTACTACTACTACTAACTACTACTACTACTACTACTACTACTACTACTACTACTACTACTACTACTACTACTACTACTACTACTACTACTACTACTACTACTACTACTACTACTACTACTACTACTACTACTACTACTACTACTTGCTACTACTACTACTACTAACTGCTACTGTACTACTACTGACTACTGACTACTACTACGACTACTACTACTACTACTACTACTACTACTACGACTACTACTACTACTACGACTACTACTACTACTACTACTACTACTACTACTACTACGACTACGCTACTACTACTACTACTACTACTACTACTACTGCTTACTACTACTGCTACTACTACTACTATACTACTACTACTTACTACTACTACTACTACTACTCTACTACTACTATACTACTACACTACTACTACTTACTACTACTACTACTACTACTACCTCTATCTACTACTACTACTACTACGACTACAACTACTACTACTACTACTACTACTACTACGACTGCTACTACTACTACTACTTTACTCTACTACTAACTTCTACTACTACTTACTACTGCTACTACTACTACTGCTACTACTACTACTACTACTACTGCTACTACTACTACTACTACTAATACTACTACTACTACTACTACTACTACTACTACTACTACTACTACTACTACTACTACTACTACTACTACTACTGCTACTACTACCATCATCTCATCATTCATCGGCAGCATCACACATCGCCCGCCGCCAGCTGGAAGGGCAGGCGCGGGAGCGGCGGAATTGTTTAATTGTGCTTGAGGCCGCCCCAGTCTGTGAAGGGGCCCCAGGACACACAAAGACATACACACAAATAAAAAAGATTCCCCATATTCCCCTATAGTTTCTGGGCTTCTGTCTTCCCCCCCGCTTCCCATTTTCTCCCATCTTTTCTGGGGAATCGAGAAATAATTGTGTCTGTGTGTTTCTT